TGGGCAGGCAGTGTTTTGTTTCTTTATTGTTACTGATTTTGTGCGTTATTCATTCGGCACACATTTGTTGAGTCCGGGATGGGCAGGCAGTGTTTCGTTTCTTTATTGTTACTGATTTTGTGTTCTGTGCTGGGTGTGGCCTGCGCATCTGTAATCGCAGCACTCTGGGAGGCTGAAGTAGCATGACTGCACATTTGAGACCAGCCTGGCCAACTCAGTGACACCCTGTCTCTGAAAACAAAAACGCCAAGCCAAACCAAAACAAAGGGCTTGATTTGTAAGAGCATTTTGGGGTTCATGGCAGAACTGAGGAGGTACAGCACCGATCTCTCCCATGTACTCTGCCCCCAGAGGTGCCTTCTGGTTTCAGCTCCCCACCAGCGGGATATGTCGTGGCGTCTGATGAACCCAAGCTTGTGTTCGAGGCCTGAGCTGTTCAGCAGAGGCTCTGTGTTCCTGGGACGCTGGTGGGGGCTCGGCCAGCCAGCAGCCGGCCCTGCTCCTTCTGCAGGGGAGGCTCAGGGTGCTAGTCCTAGCTGATGCTCCTATTGCTGGACTCGATCCCAGCCCCCGGAGAGCTTGCCTGCGGCTCACTGCTGGCTCCCAGACAGAGCCGTCATGCGGAAGGGCATGGAGGAGCAGAGCTGCTGAGCTCATGGGGGAGCACAGTGGGGACAGAGCTGGGGGGACGGCACCAGGGCCCTGACAGAGACCCCAGGCTGTGGCTCCATGACCCCAGACATACCCAGGAGCAGCTCTGCCAGTCTCCAGGGTGTATCAACCATCAGGTATCCCTCCACCCTGTGTGGGACCGTCCCAGGGTGAGAAGGCTGTCCATGGCCAGCGCAGATGGGACCCCACTTTGTTCTAAGTTCTGCTCTTCCAGAAGCAACTGGTCAGTGAGGAGGGCTCTGCAAACTCTGCAGTGCTCACATGAATACTTTTTCATGAGTGAATGCTGTTTTGAATTTCTGCCCAGTATATCTGTATATCTGTATCTTAACCTGTATCTATATCTGTGTGTCAGTTTTTAGCTTCAGATAGTCTGTTTGTTCTCTTGGTTACTGGTATCATTTGCTTTGAAGAGTAGCATTTGGACTAATAGGGAAAGGCCACCATGAATTACAGTATTTGAAAGGTGCATCTGTGTACACCTGAGCACTTCTACGTGCACATACATTTTGAAGCATCTTTACTCCTTGTGGTGCTGTTAGGACCTGCTATGGCTGTGTCTAGCATGCCATCACAGGTGGGGCTTTTCCAGAGGTGGCTGGATCCAGAGTGTGTGACTGATTCATGATGCGATGCTAGGATTAAGGCAGTGTGATTACTAAACTGGTCCACTGACTGGTTTGGCACTGCCCCAATCCCGGTAGCCTAGATAGAGTATAAAAGGGTTAGAAAAGTGCTGTTAGGGCCCCTTGTTGCTTTGCTGTTTTCTGCCCACCATGAACTGTTGCCCTCTGCCATGTCACTCTGCCTTGGAGCCAGCTGAGTATGGACTGAAACCTCCACAAACTGTGAGCTAGATAAACTTTTCTTCCCTTAACTTGGGTATTTTGCCTCAGAAGTGAGAAAAGTAGCTAAGAACCCGCTGTCCCTCATGTGCTAGACAAGTGCTGTACCCCAAGCCATGCTCTGGGCCACCGTGGATGTTTTTTAAATGCAGAGTAAAAGAACAAAGTACAGTTTGAAAACCCTGGTCCACGCAGTGACGTGCAGCTTCTATGGCGGAGAACAGGGTATGCCCTTGCTTTTCCATTTTCTGTGATCACAGCCCTTGGTGCTGTTTGCCTTTGAGTGACGCCAGAGCTCTCGGTCCTGCAGGGAGAGTTCTGCAGGTGGCACTGGTGTTCACTTGTGAGCAGTGGGGTTGTCAGCTGCAAGAAGAGATTTGTCTGGCTCACGGTTGTGGAGGGACCGGCACAAGATGGGTTGGCCCTGCCGCTTTGGGCATGGGGTCCCCATACCCTCCCTGGCCCGCAGACCTCTCCAGTGCCTCGCGGTGGTGCCATGCTCTGGCCGCGCCTTTTCCCCGTGGGCCCCTGAGGGTCGCCTGAGATGCAGACCACAGCCGTCTGCTTCCAAAGGTTTCTTTTCCCAAGTAAGATGAGCGTTTTGTTTGTGGCATTTGAATGTGAAATACAGGGAGGTTGCTGGGCCTGGTGCCTAATCCGAGAACTTGGGAGGCTGAGGCAGGAGGATCACCGCAAGTTTAAAGCCAGGCTGGGGATAGATAGTGAGTTCAGGCTCAGCCTGGACTATATAGTGAGACTTTGTCTCAAAAAAACCAAAAAAATAAAAGAGAGAGATAGAGATACAGTGAGGCAGGTTGTGTCCAATCACATGGTGTAAACAGCAGGAGGGAGGAGCTCTTGGTGAGTGGAGAAGGAGGGAGATGGGGCCCGGACAGTCAAGCCAGCTGGGTGTGTGTGTGTGGCGTGGGGATGGAAGGAGGGAGGGAGAGAGAGAGACAGAAAAACGTTTGGGTACATGAGAGGAAAGAGACCAATAAAATCAGAGGTTGAAAATACAGATGAATGATTGTAAAGAAGCCCAGTAAAAATACATGTAGTCTTGTAACCCCAGCTGTCTGGGAGGCTGAGGCAGGAGGATCACAAGGTTGAGCCTAACCTCGACAACTTTGTGACTTAGCAAGGCCCTGTCTCAAAAGGCGGTGGGGGCTGGGGGTGGAGTTCAGTGCAGAAGCCCTGGGTTCTGTGCCCAGTTCCAGAAACAAGCAAACCAGCGACCCCCAGCACACAGGCAGTCGCGTTCGGATCCCACCTGTGTGCGTGTGGATCTGCCGGCCCACGTGCAGCAACTTCTCCCTCAGAGCGGCAGCCCAGGCTGGTGAGTCCAGGAGGCTCTTTGAGGAAGACAGATTGGGAGATACGGTGTGAAGTGCGGAGTGCGCCTCGGCACACCTCGGGAGCCATGCGGGTTTCACCCTGCCCTGACGCTGGTGCACCTGTGTCTCCTGCGCACCTGTGACCTGCCCTGTCGTCGTCGGCGATGTGCTGTGTGGACGCCTTGCCAAGCCCCAGCTGGCTGCCAGTCGTTACGAAGCCTGACTGTTGGCCTGGTGCTGTGTCGGGACCTGCAGATCTGGCGGGAGCCTGCGGCTTACCTGGCCGCATTAGTGGAATCCTTGCTTACCCGGCCATCTGAGGAGGGTTTCCGCCGCCCCCAGAGCCGGCCTCCCAGAGGCTAACGTGGGCCTTGGTACCGCCCTGACTATGCAAATGAGACCGAGTCTTGTTTTCTAGTTTTTGTTCTTATGAGTGCATGGTGCGGTGTGTGTAGTGGTCACATGCATTGTGGGGCGTGCACACCCAATTCTTCCTGTCCCCCTCCCCTGCCCCTCCATCTCTCCGTCTCGGGAGGGTACAGACCTCGCTTGTGCCCATAGGCAGGAGGCGCAGAGCCAGGCTGCTGAGCTTAAACCTGTGCCCTCTTTGCAGCTTGTGCTTTGGGAAAGACCTGGCTCGCCACGTGCAGGTCCTGTGGGGTGAGTGGCCTTGGGCCGCGCCGTACCCGTCCCTGCCACTCATCACCCTCAGGCGGAGGCGGAGGCAGTGGCCGCTCTCCCGTGTCCTGCAGGTGGCTGGTGGAGCTTTCGCACCCCAGGGGCCCCTGGGCTCCACGCAGCTGCTCTCAGGCCTCGGTTTCCAAGGCCCTGGTCTGGCGCTTGACTTCCTGTTTTTCTTGTCCTTCCTCCTTGCTTGTTTTTCAAGCCCTCAGCCACTTCCTCACCCTCTTTGATCTGCCAGAGGTGACTGGTATCTTTCCTGTATATCACGGCATCTCCCCGCCCTCCATACTTACCCTAAAGGTGTCAGGCCAGTTCTGGGCAGAGCTGGGCCACACGCCGAGCCCAGGGTGCCTGGAGTGTGGGCATCTTGCAGGGGGAAGGCCGGCCTGCCAAAGGGGGGCATTGTGCCTGTGATGCGGCCGTTCAGGATGTGACCCCAGCTGGGTCTCCTGCAGCCCAGCTCGACCCTGGCAGTAGCCACCCAGAGCTGGTACAGACCTGGGTTCGAGGCGCAGATGTAAGATTGTCCCCCGAAGGTGCCAGTGGCGAGCCTGGTTCTCTGTGGCAGCCTGCTAGCATCTCCCTTCCTTGGGTCCGATTACTTGGGAGCAACGTGTGCTTACACCTGCTGGTGTATTATAAAGGACACAGGTGAACAGCCAGGGGAGGAAAGGCCCAGGCCAAGTCCAGAGGGGTCCCAGCTCTGGAGCACCTGTTCCCGTGGGCTGGGGGACACTGCCCTCCTGATGCTGGAGGCTGTCCCTGAGCCCTCTGACCAGGGGAGTAGAGAGGCCACCACTTGGCATGATGGGCTGCATAAGTCAGTGTCCAGTGCCCTCCCTGGAAGTGGGGTGTGAAATCTCCAAGCCCTTGGTCATGCGGTTGACCCCCCTGCAGCAGCCGAGGCCATCCAGGAGCCCCTAAAGCCCCTCTGAGCCTATGCAGGTGTGGTTTAAATGGTGCCGCGTCACCGAGCTCACTCCTGAACCCAGTCCTCCTGCGGACCCTGGGGTTTCCTGAGCTCTGCTGCCGGGAGCCTGGGCTGCAGCCAGATGTGTGTCGTGGGCTGTGCTGTGGCGTCACATTCTGAGGCTCTCTTGACCTTCCACAGCTGGCCTGCTGCTGCGGGACGGCGGGCTGCTCCCTGTGCTGCGGCTGCTGCCCCAAGATCCGACAGTCACGCACCACCCGCTTCATGTACGCGTTCTACTTCATCCTGGTCGTCGTGCTGTGCTGCTTCATGATGTCGCCAACGGTGGCCAAGACCATGCGGGAGCACGTAAGCCGGCCCCTCCTGGGCAGGTGCTCGGTGTGGGGGCTGGGAGGCAGATCGGAGGGCAGGACCAGCCCGCCACCAATGGGGGTGCATGTGCTTCCCCAGGGCCCTTCACCTGTCTGCTGCCTCTGACCCAGTGGGTGGTCCTGCAAATAACGTAGAGTAGGCCCTGGCATGCCTTTCAACTCTGTACATCGACCCGGGGGGTCTCCAGGGACCAGTGACATGGGTTCCAGCCACTCCTCAGGCTGTGTACACCTAAAGGGATGTATGTAGGACTTCTGAATTTCCCGGTTGCCCCTCAGTGGACCTCTTGACCAGCCAGATTATGGGGGGTGTTAGGGGGTCTTTGAGGAGCCCTGTAATATAACCTCACCTTCCTCTCCTACCTTCTGAACACATTCACAAAGGAGATGAAAATGTCAGCAGGCAGATACCAAATACCAGGTGTGATGAAAAATTACTTCAAATGTTTACAGGTGGTTGTCTGAGTATCTAAAATTATAAAATCATAAAATTAACTGCTCCCACTATACCAGGATGTAACTGATCTTCTCTTACTGGATGTTCAAGAACTGAGGTTTGAGAGACCAAAGCTAAAAAAGATAACCAGCTAAGAGAACAGCCACTATTTTTGCCCTGCCCTTCCAAGGTCAGCAGGGACCTGGGCATGAGAGGACCTTTCCACAGGGCCTACAACTTTGGTGAGCCACCCAACCTTCTGAGCAGGGAGATGGTTGGACCCCCGAAGGACAGAAGTTGACCAGTGTGCATTGTGCTAGAAGGAGATCACTGAAGGGAAAAACCTTCCCATGCTTCCAAGGAGAGCCACGTGGTCCAGCATGGATTGTGACCCTTCCTGGCAGATGGCACGGACAGAGGATGAACTGAATGAGCTAAGAGCGTCTGAGTGTGGCCCCAGCAGAAATGCCTGAGGAGACTTAGCTGACCTTGATATATTAGGACTTAAAGGTCTCACCTTAAGTTGGTCCTGAGCACCTCATGACAGGAGGACATAGCCAGAGATATGCAAGAGTGACAGTGATACAGGCTGGGCATACAGAGGGGCTGCAGTCACTGACTCCTGCTGATAGTCCTGAGGGCCAGCTGGTTACAATTGCTGCTTAACCCCTTAATAAGGGTTTGACGTGGCTCCTTCCCCAGTCTGCCTTTGCATTGTATTGCTCATGCTTTGGTCATATGTGCTTTAAGCTCTTGGTAAAGTTTGTTTGTTCTCGCCTCAAGGCTGCCAAATGCCAAGTGATTATAGGTGCCAGGCTTCTGCCTGTTGCACGAACCTCCCTGCTGAAGTCTTCCACCTGCTGCTCCCCAGCTGTGACCCCATTCAGCTCGAAGAAGCCAGATCGGTCATTGCTGGTTTCCCCAACAGCAGCTGGATGGCTGTCTCACAGGGAGACTGTAGGGACAGGGTCCTGTAGGCAGGGAAAAGAGCGGGTGGGGTGGGGCCTCACCGAGCTTTGTTAGAGGTTAACGGGGAGACTAAGGGCGGAGACCTCTGCTTCTGCAAATTAGACTCAAGCAATCAGAAAGACACAGGCAAGGAATCCAAACTCAGGGAGGTTCCAAGCACTGCAGTCCAGGAAAGCCTCTTTGCTTAATCCTTAGCACCACCCCCATAATCCTAGCCTCTACCAGCAGCAGGAAAGGTCACGTGATGGGAAGAAGTCCCAAGCAAGCACCAAAGACAACAAGGGAGACAGCTGGTTTCCAGAAGCCTACTTGGGACAAGGATCTCAATAAAAAGGAGCTGCAGACGAGAATGCACGAGTGTTTCCCTGTCCTGTACCCCCTTTGTAGCTATTGGCTTTCTTTCCTTTTTTTTCCACCTTGAAGTAAATCTTTAGTTTAAAAAAATTTTATGCCAAGGTCACATTGCTTCCGTCTCCACCCCTCAGCCTGCTTGAGCGTGCGCATATCCGCGCGCCTGCCCCTGAAACTCTGCGTCTCTCACTCAGCCCCGTGGGTCCCCTTGGCCTCCCTTGGTGACTGGAGCAGCACGGAGTGGGCGGCCTGGCCTTTCTGGGCTGGGACATGACAGCAGAAGCACACTCGGGCAGCTCTCGTCCCCGGAAGGTCTGGCTGTGCAGATCTGTGTCTCCTTGAGCCTCCCGCCCCACCTCATCCCTCTGGGCATCCAGCGAGGAGGTGGAGGGAGCTGCACCCACCGTCTGCCCTTCACAGCTGTGCACTGAGGCTGTGATTATTGGGATGCACACAACTGCTTCAGAACAACGACTGTGTTTGTTTTGTGTTTTGCTTTTTTGCCATGCTGCAAACAGAAGCCAGGCCTCAGGCACGTTAGGCAAGCACTCTGGCGCCAGCCATGCTGGCCCAAACCATTTTTTAAAAGCACTGATCCATGAGTCAGAGGAGACCCGGGGAGGCTTTTGCTGGTAAAGTGCTTATAGTTGTGCTTGCGTCATCTTGCGTGCTGCCGAAAGGACCAGCAGACCCGTGGCACCTGCATTCTCTGGGTGCAGCGAGTGAGGCGCGGTGAGGGCTGTGTGCGTCCCCGCAGCAGCTCAGCGTGTGCTTGGGTAGGGCAGAGGCCCAGTCTGCTGAGGCCTTGAGCAGCCGCTGTGCGCGGGGTGGGGAGTGGGTGGGGAGGGGTGGGGGCGGAGCAGTACACTGAGAGCTCAGGCTGCTCCATCTTGGCGCTTCCGCGGGCTTCTGCCTGGCGGGTTGTGGCAGACGGGAGGGACTTGCAGCGCTGACCGGGCAGCCTGCACTACCCTTCTGGAGCTCTGCCGGGTCTCACTTGCGCGTTTTGCTGTTCTAATAGTGTCACATTCCCTCTTGAATTTGGCCAGCAGAGGCTGGGGCCCCTGTGGGTTTGTGGTGGGTACAGGGTCCTGATCTCTGCTCTTAATAAGTTGTTGGTTCTGGCAGAATTAAGCCTTGGATCGTAGAGACAAAATCTGGAGCCATGCAGGCCTGAAGCGTCGCTCTGGGGGAGCTTGTCAGGAAACTTGAGACGGGAGGTAGAGAGGAAGCCGCAGGTGTGGGCGTCACGTCTGTGACAGTTGAGCACCACCTGGTCTCTGACAGCCCGGCCAGTGTCCCACTTTCCGCTGCTGGCAGAGCTCCAAGAACGGACGAGGCCGACGGGTATTACCATGCAGCTGCGCGGAGGGCTGCCGTTCTCAGAGCTGATGTGTGCTGTGTAGTGAACACCACACCCAGGCTCACTCTGTGTGCTGTGCCTTCCCCGTCACCCCGTGCCCGCCTGAGCGTAGGCACAGGGAGAAAGCCGAAGGTCTTTGCAGTCCTTTGTACCAGGCCACCAGCCTCCAAGCGGTGGAGTTGGGATTCGGACCCAGTCTGAATGTGTTCTGAGCTCCTGGGCTTTGTATGAGGGTGCTCAAAATATACAGTGAGCGTTCAGATTTAAAATAAATTATTACAGTAAGAGTCACGTTGGCATTAGTCCCCTCAAAATCCTCCCTGTTTGAGCACGCTCATCCCATTGTCCGGCCACTTTCTGCAGCAGCTCTGGTGTCCTCTTTCCTAAGTGTCGTTACCAGGTGTGATCAGCAGTGTGGTGAATGCTGCTGCCGAGTGCCGTCCAGCGGAAAGGCAGCTCGTAAAAACCCGATGCCGTGTCTTTCTCATCCATTAACTCACTGGATTGGCACGTGTGAGTTCTGGGTCTCCCCTAAGGGCAAAATGGCCACAAAAACAAACTGTTTTGAATCCATTCAGCACAACAAGGCAGCCAGGACAGCACAAGTAAAGACCCCCCAGGAAGTGAGGACCCAAAGCTGCTGCGGACGGTGGCAGAGCTTGGGATGGTGTGTTTGAAGCGAGGGGGACACTCTGAGCAGGGTTCAGGCAAGTGCCTTTGACTGCAACACATTGTTAAGAATTTAAACACCCACTGTATTTTTGGATGTGTTGTCCCTGGAGAGGAGGAGAAAGAGCAAGGCCAGGCGTGTGTCAAAGCCCCGGGAAGAGACGAAAGCCTGACTGAGCCGACAGTGGCGGTGGTGGTGTGGGGTGACCTGGGGTCAGAGAGCAGATGGCGCAGAGAGGAAGGGAAGGGGCAGGCTGACAGGGGCCTTTGTGTGGTCTCCTCCCTGTCCTGAATGCACCTATTTAAACTTGGCTTGGCTGGGCTTCCTGCTGGAGAGACCGGTGGGAGGGACTGGCCCTTCCCACCCTCGAAGCCTCCAGGGCGGCCTCAGGCCGCAGAGGAGCTGAGCTCATCTCCAGGCAGGCGGCGCAGGCCGTGAAAGGGCCCTTGTGGCAGGCACGCTGCGGGTCCTGGGTCCTCTGTGCTGGCCTGGAATGCTGGGGGACGAGTTGGGAAGAACTGCATGCCTGTCCAGGCTGAGGGCTGCGTCTCCTCTCGGGTGTGTGGGCTGGGAGCTTTGGCCCGCAGCATGGTCAGCTGGTGCAGGTCCTGGCCTGAGTTCAAGCTCTGGGGACCGGGGAGACACTGCTTGGCTCCTCTGCTCTGCAGGAAGTGTCCCTGGAGCTGTGGCCTGGGGCCGTGAGGCTCCACGCTCCCCTCAGAACACAGGAGCTGTGTCGTCCTGAGCAGTCCTTGACACTCACCCTGTGACCTAAGCGGGCGCCCGCCTGGGCTGTGGGGTGCCTGTGGGGCTTACATTGCCTCCACTTTGTGAGACAGGCTGTGGTGTCCAGGGGAGTTGGGAACTCATGATCCTCCTGCCTCAGCCTCCCGTGTGCTGGGATCACAGTCATTCATCACCTTGCCGAATTTTTATATTCATTTTAGAATGTAGAACACGAAGGAAGATGTCAAGAGAATAAGGTCTCCTGACAAAGCGTGACCGCCATGCTCGGACAAGGATGGTGGCCTCTGGGTTTGGTGCTGGGAAACCCCATGGGCCTATGAACAGGAGGAGAAGGAAGGTTCAGGCTTCTTGGAGAGTGGGGGCTGTAAAACCCAGCCGTCCTTGGAGAAGGAGGATCCAGTCCCTGAGGCCCTGGCGCCTGCCCCTACAGCTCGCTGAGCC